ATATTATTATAATATTATTATAAAATAATTATTATAATATCATATTATATGATAAAATAATAATATTATAGTTATTAATATAATTATAAAATTATTTGTTACAATATTACTATTATATTATATTATATTATATTATTAGTTTCAATTTTAAATTAGAAAGATTGTAAATTTTAAATTTCATTAGGGATATTATGGGTATTATGAAAGTTTCATTAATTGTACTATGTTAATTCCTGCTTAATTTAAAAGCTAAAGTTGTATTTAGGCTACTTCTGATTTTGGTTGTAGATTCTTCAAAAATTATTCAAAAAGTACTTTTGCGGAGATTTATCAAACACTAAAATCAACTTTTACTACAAGCATAAACTAATTTTAGGAGTGAAAAGTAATACCAAACACAGCCTATGTGTCCCTGCCATATATTAAAACACGTATATAGCATATATTTCTACGTTAATTTCCTTCCCAATCGCTTATTTTACGCCAAAATCAATACAAAATCATCTTAATTAATTCTTTTGCAATCAATTGCAGTTTGAACTAGTCAATTAAGCTATTTTGTGTCCTTGATTCTAGGAGTAGACAAGACTAATCTTTCTTCAGTACTCATGCTTTAAATTTTTAGTGTTTTAAATGATGCTTAACCAATCACAGTAAGTCATTTAATGGAATTACACCTTAATGTATAGAGTTGAAAATATTTCCAAGTTTTTTACAATAACATGGTACAATGTGGCTGGTTAGATTATTATATGCTTTTTTTTAAATGATTAAAAGTACACTAAAATTGGATGACGGTCTATTAAAATTCAGCTGTGATATGTATTTTTATTTTGAATAGTGAAGGATTGAGCAAAGTTTCATGTTCTATTACCAAGTCATATTAAACTATACCAACGACATGACAAAGTCATAAAAGAATATAATCTATTGGATTAAAGTTCACGGTTCAATGCACAGCCATGGGGACGAAACTAGCCCAAACAACAATACGACATAGTACCCTTCTTTCTCGGTAATACGACATGACACCGTTATCAGAGAAAGACTAAACTAACTGCAAACTGAACTCAGAGAATGTTGTGAAGAACGTCACTCTTACAATCACAACAGACAATTGCCATGTGGCAAACATATATATATAATTATATATATATATATATACGGCATCCCATAAAGCAGCATTATTATTACGTTAAAAGAAATTAAGAAATAAAATTGACTTAGTTAGTAACCACGAAATGGCGCGAGAGGAAAGGAAGCAAAGCGAAGTTAGTGGATGTTGTAAAGAATGTCACCCCCACAATTCATTAGATCCACATTCACTAAAAAGGAACAAAAAAATTCTTGTCAACCAATTATTTTGTCTTGTTTGATGATCCTGTCTCTTTTTTCTTTTCCTTGATTCTTTCATGGCTGTTTTTTCTTGGAGAGAGAGAGAGAGTTTTGAATCATAACATGTAATCACTTAGCTAGAAGAAGAAGGATCACACAAAAGAAATTAACAAATGGTAAGCTTTTGAGTTTGGAATGTATATATGTTTGTTCTGTATTATAAATGTTGAACGTATCAGAATATGCATGCATGCAAAATTGTTATTGATCCAATTATATATTTATTAATTTATGATATTGTAACGACAGATTTTTTATTCTTTAATTTGCTTGTGAGCAGGAAACTCCAGTGAATATAATTGTAGGTTCGCACGTCTGGGTTGAAGACTCAGATATAGCGTGGATAGATGGAAAAGTATCAAAGATTACTGAACAAGAAGTGGAGATTCAGGCCAGCAATGGGAGAAAGGTACGTGAAAAACAAGCCTATATAATTTATTCTCTAGAAATTCGTATTTCACTTTTATTTCTTATAAAAACTCTTTCATTTTGGATTTTTTTTTTAAGGTTGTTGCAAACTTATCAAAAATATATCCGAGAGATACGGAAGCTCCTGCTAGTGGAGTTGATGACATGACAAAGCTGTCTTATTTGCATGAACCTGGAGTCTTGGAGAATTTGAAGACTAGATATGAGCTTAATGAAATCTATGTAAGTGTGTGTTAAAGCGCTAATCCTTTCATCCTTAAGGTTCACCCCTAAGGTTGATAATAATTTGTCCCTTTGTTCTAAAGAGAGAATCCTTAATGCAATTTCAATTGTTTAACATGTATAATCTTTCCTTGGCAGACTTATACTGGAAACATCCTTATTGCCATTAACCCCTTCCAAAGATTGCCCCATATTTATGATGCTCACATGATGCAACAATACAAGGGTGCGCCTTTCGGGGAGCTCAGTCCTCATGTATTTGCAGTTGCTGATGTTGCATACAGGTTATCTATCTATAATCTTCTGCTTTAGATTGATTCTATATATTACTTGTCTTTATTAATGAAAAGATTTGAGTTAACAAGTCCTTCGAAAAAATCAGGGCGATGATTAATGAGGGAAAAAGCAATTCGATCCTTGTCAGCGGTGAAAGTGGTGCGGGTAAAACTGAGACCACCAAAATGCTTATGAGGTACCTGGCCTTTTGTTCGCCAAAAACTCTATGCATAAAATGACTCCACGCAAGCGCATGCAATCGAACAAGTAATATAGTAATGAATAAAGTATCGTCTCCACAGGGACTGAGTTACTGAGGAATTCTATTACA